AACTTTCAGAAACTGCGATATCACAAGTCACTTCCACCGGAGGAATGACACAGCAAAATGAAACTTCCACTCCAGGATGAGCAAGTCAGACAGGTTCCTTACATAACAAGGGCTTTGGCACCCCACCCAGGGCTTGGTTCCTTGCCAAACCTTCACACCCCCCAGAAAAAGGTATCAAGATATTTAGAAACTTTGGCCATGGGACAAAGTGCAGACCAATGCAATGGAAGGTCGACTCTATACTGACTCAGAGGAAACCCTGAAAGACGTGGGGTTGGATCCAAGTCAAGACTAGAGACCCCTGGTGTTTCCAATTCTGTCACAGCATGCTGGGGGGAATCTTGAGTACAGAACCATCTGGATCCAGTGGAACCCATAATACCCACAAATCTTCCAGAGGTTCTGAATGGCCTTCAGTTAAATGTCATGTCATAAGAATGAAGCTTCCCCCCAGAGCCTTTCCCAGTGCATGCAGTACTTTCACCTACAAAGAACAGTTTGCGAAACAAAAAAGCTCTAAATTTCCTAAAGGAAAGAATAACCCAAGCCAAGAAAAGATAAAGATCAACTTTCTAGCTGGAGAACAAATATCTTTCTATGCCTGACGAAACTAAACATTTACCTGCTTTTGGCATAAACATTACATTCATTTTTCATTCTGAAGTTCAGGAGGTAATTGTGGGACTCTCACACCACTCACTGTACCTGGAGGAAAAAGACTAATCAGTTCTATAACATCTAGGATTTCTGTTTTTCTGAGGCATCTTGCTCAGATGACACTGGCTTTGGGACTAGATAAGTCGATGTTCAAATATTCTAGGTGTTTTTATGTTAGGGAATTTAATTTATCAGGATTAATGCTATTTTTTTAACCTCACATTGAAAAAGAGGGACTGGATTTAAGACATACCAAAGACAAATAAAAACTCCATTTTTGCTTTTGCAATTTTAATGGAAGAAGCCTGTTGAACAGGTAGATTTCTACCTTAATGAGAATCATTTTTGTTCATGTCAGGTATTGTCCCTGGCATTGATAATTTCCACACTAGTCCTTCAAGGTAGCCATTATTGTTTCACTATAGGGATGAGGAAACCTGGGTTCAGAGAGGTTATATTGGCTAGAAGGGGAGTATGGGAGTGGGGAAGCACCAACTATTCAGTTTTTCTCATTGTATCATGATGTTTGTCCCTAAAGAAAGGAGATTGCCCTAGAATGAGTGTGTTTTCTGGTTTACATCATTTAGATCAGATTCAAACCTTCATTAGAAATTTAACTCAACCCTTTGCCAAAGGGTAGGTGTTTTTGTGATGAAATCACACTTTCTTTAAGGGCCAATGTTTCATGTTTTTAGATGTTTGTTTTTTTTGCTCTCTTGCTGCAGTGCAATCAATCTAAGCAGCTCAGGTATAGAAGCACCTGCCATTTATGAGGAAGTCTTAGGCAAATGCTGTTGAGAGTAGTACCCAGTTCACTCATTTCACATGCCCTTAAGGGTCTGGTGGGTAGAAGTTCAATAGGGTGTGTCCTCTTTTTCAGGGGTATCTCCTCCTTCTACATAGTCTTGCTCCTTCACCTTGTATAAAAAATAGCCAACTCATCCAACAACCAGCCCCCCCTTACTGCCCCAGTATATTAACAGGTAAACTCCTGGAGGACACTCTACATTTGATTTATTTTTGTATTTTCCATGCAACACTTGCCCAAGCCCTGCTAGCAGCTGGGGCTCTATTGATCCTACAAGAAAATACAAAGCAAGATGCCACATGCCAGGAGTAGATGAGGGCACCAAATAATTCAAACCCCTTGGGTGATGTGCATTAAAACCCCTCCAAATCTGAGGATATAAATGTATGGCAAAGTGCAGCAGGGAGCACTGTGGGCTGGAGTCTTAAGGACACTTCACACAAGAGGAGAAACTTGGAGGATGGAGTGGATTAGGCTAGGCGGGATGGCATGGTGGACGAGGGCAGCAAACATGGGGAGTGGAGGGCAGAAGAAAGCACAGTGGGTAGAGAAGACCGCATCTCTGTAAGCTTTACCACATGCTAGGGAGGCTCCAGGCACTCCCTAGTCTCAACCTTTCCAGTTGGACCTCTACATAAGCTATCTGCCTATTTTCCTGTCATGGTACAGAGGGCTTAATGTTGTGGTGGCAAGGTGTAGAGGGACAGAGAGCATCCTGTGGCCCTGCGATTAAGGGCTGTGCCCTTCACAAGTACCTCTCATTTTTTTTTTCCCATTAGGTGGGACAGGAAGGTGATAGTGGGCTAGAGTTGGTTAGGTTCTGGAAAATAGTAGGTCTTATGAAGAAGAACAGAATGCTATGGCATATTTCAAAAGGCTACTTTCTCTTTAAAACTCAAAGGGGGTTTGCTTCCATCTTCATTGTGAGAACCTGGTAGGGTCCTTGAGGTAATGCTCACAAAAGTGCAGGGACCTCTTGAAGACCAGCTCCCCCTGGAATTCTCCTGTCTCAAATGTGTTCACACTGAGCCTCTAGCCGTGCATGAGTTACAGCCCCGGATGGTACTACTTCCCACAGAGGTTCTGCTCCTGAAAAATGTGACTCCTTCTGTCCATTTGTCTTCTTCTAATTTGGGGAGTAGTGTTTGCCTGTGGCTGCAATTCTCTGTTGCATCTAAAATTTGTTGATGATGGGTTTGTTTGGCTTTTCTGTAGTTGCTGCAAGTACTCAAGTGATGATGCCCAAGCTCCCTGTGCGCTGGATGGGACCACATATTTCAAAAGCATTTTCTTACACTGTGTTCCGCAAAACGTGTTCTCTAGATGTCACTAGTATTCAACAACAGAGGTTCCTGTGTTCGAGTAGCTTTGAGAAGTTCCAGGTTTATTAACAGCAGGTCATTTCAGCATCTCTTTGACACTTTTACTTGCCAGGACTATGGATTGCCTTGTGGCCCTACTTAATTTCATCACAGAATTCTTCTAAGAAAAGAGTAATTCATGAAACTATCTTCCTTAAAATATGGGAAATGCTGTTTTATGGGCAGTCTTTTTTAATAACTTATTGCCTATGATTGTTTCACCTTTGTGGACATGGATGATATTATTGGTCTTATTTATGTTCATTCATTTTGCAGATATTATTAAGTCTCTCCTAGGTGGTAGGAAGTATAATAGTTCAGAGAAGGGAATACAAAGTGTTTTGGCCATGGCACCTTTTTTGAACTTAGAGTCTGGTATGAAAGACATGCACAGAATTAACTTTAATTTTACCGACTTTAAGAAATCTCTCCCCCACATTTCTGCAGTTTACAAAAATGAATCAAATTAAATATAGAGATCCAAAACTACAAATAAAAAAATAAATGAAAGCTGTTCCCTTCCCACATTTCATTGAGGGGTCAAGTTGGTTTCACAAGGAAAAAAGTCTTGTGGATCAGGTTTCTGGGCAAAATATCAATCCTTATGACACTGCCCATGATTTGCCATCTCGTTTGCTGATCTGTACCCATTGCAACATCTCTTCACTGTTTCCAGGAGTCTCTGCGGACAGCATCTGCAGGCAGAAAATGAAGAACTGGGTGGACTCACTTCAACTGGTTATTCTCAGTTGGTGTTGGGGCTTTGCAGAGGATAAGGACCCATATACACATAATGCTTCTAAGCACCTGGTGCAGTGGTATAGGGCACTTTATGTAAGTGTGGAAAGGGCTTTGGGTGATAAGAACACTGGAGCAAATACTTCAGTCTGCTGAGTATACTCAGCACTCTTTGGAAAATCCAGCCTTCAACAAGAGGAAGCATGTACTTACTCAAGATTCAAAAGAATCTCACAGACAGATGCTCGCAATTTCAGGGAAGGTCTGGCACAGAGAAAGAGGCTCCAGATCATTATCAAAACAAATAAAACTCTTCAGCATCTGGAGAGACACAACTAATGCTTATCATCTCTCAGCTTCCTACACCTAATGGAATCAGTTCTCGGAATCTTTCTACTTCTTGCGGGCGGAGAAACCACATTGTGTCATATTTTATTCTCCTCCAAAACTGTATTTATCTCAAGCTTAGGAAAATAAGATTTCAATCAAGTATCACTTATAACAAGCACATGCATTATGATGCATTTTATAGAACAAAGTTAAAATGCTACAGCATTCTATGTTAGATTCTCAGGGAAGCACAATTCAAATAATCATGAGTTCTTTAGGCCTTACTTATATTTCATGCAGAAACTCATTCTATAGCCTGTATTAAAAGCAAATATTGTTTTCTTATTTTATCTTACAGATGGCCTCCTTTGTGTTGATTTTGGTAGAAGTTGCCAAGCAAAATCTCAAAGTGTTTCTGAGTTGACTTGGAAGCTTATAACACCACAAAGGGACCCTACATCACATGCTCAGTGGCACGTGGACCACACTATGGGACCTGAGTGTGGAAATATCTGGGTGTGATGAGTTCTGTCTCTTGTCAGAAATCATCCCCCAGCTTAATTATTTGTTAATAGATCCCAACTTTTTAAAAGTGTCTGGTGATCATTCCTTTATGGGGAGGCCAGGCCATTATTTAGGATAGGGAAGTGAATTTTAACAGGTCAACAATCCAAACTCCATCTCTTTTGTCAGTGTTAGGTTCAGGAATGGATAAGCAACATAATCCTGCCCTTTTGGGGCAAGTTTTCTTACTTTTAAGTGGGTACCCAAGGGGAGGGTATTCTTCATTCTTATCTTTTGTCATTTGGTTGACTTTTGGTAGCAAGGGTGTGAGCCTTGGAGCTATCACCTTGGGGGGAAGGGAGTCGGTCCAAGGGGAAAAAAATCAGCCTGGTAAATAGAGCAGAGAGAGAAAACAACCTGCAGCTTCCAGTGCATTATCGAGATGCTGAATTGACCTACCTTGGACTGTCCTAACTGGTCATCTTATTTTGTGAAAGAATACATTTTTCTCCTTGTAAGCTACTCTTAGTTGTGTTTTCTTTTATAGTGTCCTGATACAATAATGAAGAATAAGAAATAACAAATTATTCCTTGTGTACTAGGGGACAATGAATCACCCTTGGCATCGGGAAAGCAAGGCATTACAAGCTTTTGGATAGATCACAGGAACAAGCGTGAGGCTATGAGTTACCTTTGGGGGGGTTCATGCAGATTTGAAGAGCAAAGGGAAGACCCTGAACACCTGAACTGATCTCGATTTGAAAAACTCAAACTAAGAAGTAAGAACAAGATGCCAGTGTTGGGCATCATTTCTCCAACGCTTCATTAGCCCACAAGGAAAATGTAGTATGGAAAAGGTCTGAAAACCTAGGTGAAGTTGCCATATCACCAGGGGGGACATGTGTGAGCCTCAGCAAGGATGCAATACAGTGAGGAAAATAGGTTTTTCCTCACTCCAGCACCTCGTTGTGATGAGGCAGTGTGAGCCTTTACCACAGCTCATCATCTCTACAACAGCTCTGCAAGGCAGACAGCGCTGTCCGGCTCCAGCTGGCTGCCCCCACAGAATTGTCACATGCCATAGGTCTCTTGGATCTGCATCAACAACCGGCTTGTGTCTGAGACACGCTCTGCCATCCGCTCCTTTGACAACTCCAAGAGTGATGAAAACCCTCCAAGCTTAAGAATTGAGCGTTTTTAATTCATTTGTCACAAGATAAATGTGTTGCCTGTGTGCTCTGAACCAAATCCTGATGTGTTTCTTGGGATGAAGAAAACATACATTTAAAAAATCTGATTGACAATAACAACTTCTTAATAAGCAGAGGGGGAAAAAAGGTGAAAATGGAAGATTAACCATTTCTCACCACCCCCAGAAGGCAATCTGTGTGTGCTAGAGGGCTTTAGTTGACTTCTCTTAGAAGCTCCTGAGGGAGAAGAAGGCAGCCCTTGACATCCGGAGCTGGCCTGGCATTTCTGGCTGGACCTTGGTGTTCTTCTGTTGAACAATTTCCTGCATCAACATGAGGCAAGGACACTCTGTGACCATTATGGATCAAAAAAGAAGACTATTTCATAATCACTTCTGAACACTGATAAAATATGAACAATGTCCAAGCCACAGAATACCAAGCATCCCTCCATCCTGGCTAGTAGGACTGATGGTCTCAGCCTTGCCCAGTTTGCTCTCCCTCCAGGTAAGGGCTGTGGAGATGCTGTAAGTACAGTTGGGTTACTATAACACAGCATCACAAACTAGGGTATTTTACAGATATTAATTTTCTCATAATTCTGGGGGACCAGAATTCTAAAATTAATGTGTCAGTAGGAGGCTCTGAGGGAGATTCTGCTCTAAGCCTCTCTCCCAGCTTCTGTTGGCTACTAGAATCCTTGGCTTATAGACCAATCACTCCACTCTTTGCTTCTCTCTTCACATCACTGTCTCCTCTGCTCCTCTGTTTTGTCTCTGTGTCTTCTCTTATAAGGTTATTGTCAATGGATTTACCAGGCACGGTCCATAAGCCACATTACAGAGGTGAGGCAAAGAACCTCACCCCCCCACTGGTGCATAGACCTATCCACAAGTATGGCTGTATGCTGGACCGGTAGTCAGTGACGGGTATGATTCAATTGCAGTGGTATCAACCTAAGACAGGAGGCTGACGCCTAAAGGTCAGTTTTCCGATGACGGGTAAGAACCATATGTTGAATTGGACAACCTACCAGGCACGGTCCTTAAGCCACATTGCTTGTTGTTTAATTAATCAGAAGGGGGGAGATGCTGGGAGCCATTAGCCAAGTAGGTATGACAATTTCCTTGCCAGCGTACCCCATGTTGCAGTGACATTGAATGTAGATGACCTTGCTCAAGGACCAGGGCGGATTAGGGTGTTCCCGGTTTAAGATAATCGTGTTTAGGGCGTTCCCAGTTTAGGTTCCAGGTTTAAGGTTTAAGATTATTCCTGCTGGGAATAGGGCGTATCCTGCTGCCTGAGTTCCCCTTGAGTTCTCACGGGATTCAGACAGTATATTTTGGGAGACAGAAGCCCAGTGGAGGTGGATTTGGGCAGAGAACGTGGATTTCCCCAGAACGTGATTGTAGACGGCTGGTGTGAGTTCGGGAATAAAGAGTTGCTGTTTGAATCTACAAGCTGTGTGGTGGCTCGTGATTGTGTGCCCAGCCAGACTGCGGCAAAGGTCCACCTGTTTAACTCAGGACGAACTTATTTCAAGATCCTCCATTTACTTGTACTTACAAAGACCTTTTTCCCAAATATAACATTGGGGTTTAGGGCTTGAACATCTTTTTTTTTAAACATATATTTTTTTGATTATAGGTGGACACAATACCTTTATTTTATTCTTATGTGATGCTGAGGATTGAACCCAGTGCCTCATGCATGCTAGGCAAGTGCTCTACCACTGAGCCACCACCTCAGCCCTGTACATCTTTTTTGAGAGCAACAATTCAACCCAGGAAAGAGAATGAAACACAGAGTTGTCCCAGTTTCCTGACAAAATTTAATCCAAGGCAAAGTCTCACTTTCTTAAATCCTCTTCAAAATACTTAACACAAACCCCAATCCTATAATCAATCTTTTCTAATACCTGAGATGGCCCACCGTGGTTTAGTTCCGTTCTGGGTATGGAAAGCCTGAGAACCAGGAGAACTGACAGTGTAGAGTGAGTCTGAAGGCTGGAAGTCTCAGAGAACTGATGTTTTAATTTGAGTCTGACAGTCCCTCCCCCCGCCTGCCGCAAAAGTCAATATTGTAGCACACAGGCAGAGAGCATGAATTCTCCTTTAATCAACCCTTTTATGCCAGTGTGGCCTTCAACCGAATTGGAAATGACTTACCTGTATCAGGGAGGGCAATCTTCTTTATGCTGTTTACCAGTTTAAGTGTTAGTCTCATCCCAAAACACCCAGATTAATGTTTGACCAAATACCAGTGCATCCCATGGCCCAGTCAAAATGACACATTAAATTAACCATTGCAGCACTTTCCCCAAGATCCCACAGCTGGTCACTGGTGGAGACAAAATTCAAACCCTAGGCAATTGACTCTTAAATCCACTCTCCTACAAAGCTCTGCACCATCTCCATTTTTACAGGTGGGCTTTATCCAGAGATGATCGAAGATACAGTCTGTGTTAATTATCACTGTTCTTAAAGAGTTTGAACCACACAATTTGGAACTGAGTTGCACATTGTCTTATGCTTTGCTATTGTTTCATGTATGATTTCTTTTCACCTCTTTTATTATATTGTAAGGAATTTGGGGACCAAGTGCTATGTCTTATGCTATAATAACAGCTAACATTAATAAATACTTATTATGGACTGTGTACTCCACAGGCATTTATCCATTTAGTACTCACGATACCACCCCAAGTTGGCTGCCTCTATTATTGCCACCTTGTGCATGAGGAGACTATAACCCAGATACTCATCAGCTTGCACAAAGTCAGAGGGGCACTAAGTAGAGACAGGCAATCTGGCTCTAGAGTCTGTGCCCTAACACCACATTCTTAATGTCATTATAATATGCTTCTTGAATCCTCTTCCCCCACTTGTCCCTCATTCTCAGAATCCATCTCAGTAGGCACCCAGGGTCTCTCTCTGAGCAATTGCTTTCAGAGATGAATAGTTCTTTGGGAGGCCAAATGGTTTTGAGGTTGGCTGACCAGGTGTGAGGATTGGGTGGAGTCCCTTCTGTAGGGTGCACCTGGCTTGTGGTCTGACCTGTGCCTTTCTATGTGCCTCCACTGCTCAGTTTCCTGTGTCTCCACTTGCCTCACTAAAGGGTGTACCTCCGGGGCCCTCCCTCTGCACAGACGCTCAGGTTGTCCTCACTTGCCTGAGTCCTGGTGCCAAGGCTGGGCTTTGAAAATGCAATGTCACCTTACTAAGCACTGGCTGGCTGCTGCTAATATGAGGTGCTGCCCCACCAGAGCTGTACAAACAGGTTCTTTGTAGAAGGGGAGATCTGCAGGCTTATCCTTAGGCTGGGCACAGTGCCTGGGTGTGGGTCACCAGGCTTTGGCACACCTAGTCCTCTCTCTGGAGCTGCTTGGATGCATGCTAATTCAACACTCCAGGGAGTCAGAGTAGGGTGTCCCATTCCCCAACTCCCAGAACACTTTCTTCCATCTTACCTGAACTAGCAGGCAATATATCCTAAAGCAAGAGACTCCTTCCTTCAGGAAGGATATCTGGATCAGGTTTAGAAAGAGAGAACGTTTTTCAACTTGGGAAGGTACCTCTCCTTGGTGTCCCTTAAGTACTCAGATGTCTTGTCAGAGCCCTTTATTATTAAGTCACCGTCTTCTTTTTTAAAGGCTAGACTGTGAGCTCTTTCAAGGCAGAACTATGTTTTAAGGTTCTAAACACCTAGTACAGGGCCTGGAGTATAAAGGTATAAGACTTCCTCTTGATCTTCTATCATATTGTCTTGTTATATGGAATGGATCACTGATAGGGCACAGGAGCCTCATTGGTACATCTCAGCTCTGAGAAAACCAGCTGTGCTACTTGAGCAATGCAAATTTACTTCTGGACCTCCTTTTTTTTTTTTTTTTGATACTGAGGACTGAACCCAGAGGCCCTTTACAATTGAGCTACAACCTCATTCCTTTTTATTTTTTATTTTGAGACAGGATTTTGCTAATTTGCTGATACTGGCCTTGAATTCTCCTGACTCAGCTGCCTGAGGTGTTTGGATTATAGGCGTGCACCATTGCACACACTTTAGACCTTCATTTTATTTACTTGAATGAATGACAAGGTTGAATCAGAGACACTCCAAGGTCCCTTCTGGGTTCAACATTCTAGGACTCTGTATGTGAGGTGTTCTGCAGAGAGAAGAGGTTATAGGACATGTTTCCTGCCTTACATGAATCTATGAAGGTAAAAGTGATACCATGGACACAGTCACACTGCCATGGGTCTCTTCTGCTCTGAAGTAGCAGCTTTAAGGACTGATGGAGAAGAAAGTGGGGACTGGAAGGGGTGAGACTTTTTCAGAGCTCTCAGGGTGGCAGCCTCTGCCTCAAGTAATAGTACCTGCCTTCATACAAGGCCATACTGTTACCAGAATGCCTGTGCGAGAGACCTTTCTGAGAGTTCCCCTTGCCCCCTCCAACACTGATCTCTGTAATCCTGCTGCCAAAACACAACAAAGACTGCCCACTTCAGACCATATGCTCAGGATAAAATCCTTCTTGCAGGGACTCCTGGGGGGGAAGGAAAGACATAACTCTTTGATCTTGATCCCTAACAAAGAATTTGTCTTGGGATCTTTGAAATCTTGGAGGAAAATAAAAATAAAAATAAAAAAGACCTGGGCTTTGAAATCCTTCCTTGTTTGATGTATTATCACCAAGGTGACAAATATTTTCCTCTGAAGGCAAATTTTTTGTTGTTGTTCTGGGAAAATACTACAATGGTTATTTGGTTATTAAAGGAAAAGCAAATATTCCTGAACACAGAAATTTAGATCCTGCCTTTCCAAGGGGTTCTGGTATCATATATAATCACATAACAAGCTGTTTTCATCATGGATGGCGTGGCAGCTTTGTAAATTATTTTCTAGGGAAATGCTTCATTTTTAAGGAAGGTTTATTCTGCAAAGTATAAAAATTGTTTCTTGTTCTTAGAAAATATGTGGATGTTCTTGTGAGAGGGGAGGCTGGAATCTCCTGGGCGTGAGGGTATTGGAGACCTGTCCTCACTTAAGCTCATGAATGATCACCAGGGGTCTGGATTGGTGGCTCAAAGCCCATCTGGGTAGGTTTGCTTGGAGCCTAGTCTTTGCAATATTCTAGATTTCCTAACCTAGACTTTGGAAATGGACTGCTGTTTACTTAATTGCCTTTTAAGTATCTAAGGTGAGATCTAAGGTAAGACCAACCCTCCCTGAATGGTGAGGACGTTAAATTATTAATCATGCTGGGACATGTCAAGTGGGGGAAAACACAGAGAGGTTTGGGGAACATTGAGACAGGGCTTGCAGGGTAGGACTCCATGGGAAGGAGGAGAACCAGAGGCCTCTTTCTCTCCCTCTGTTTGGTAGAGGAAATGCAGAGTTCAGGACAGGTGAAGGGGCTGTGATCTGGCTAGGTGGGGCCCAGTAGAGGGTGTACATGGAAAGGTTTGACTGTGAGCTTCACCATTCCTCATTTCCAGTACCAGTTT